AAAATATGCCGTGATAGTTTACATGGACTTTCTATATTTTTGGACCAAGTAAAATAATTAACACCTAAACAAAACATAGAAAATTCACCCATAGACCCAACCCAACGCATTAAAAATAAAAATCTACCACTAAATAAAACCAAATGCTAAATGCATCCATGTTGTAAATGCATCTCTCTTCTTCTTATAAAAAATATATTTCTTCTTTTTTCATGGTTTTACTCTGGTTTTATAACATAATAACGGTACGAGGTTAAGGACTAAGGACTAGAGTGATCTATGTTCTTCTTTTCTCAATGACCTATATTCTTCTTTCACGGTTTTCTTCTATATTTTATAAATAATAATGGGTACGGATTAAGGACTGGAGTGAAACCATAAAAAAAAGCCATTTTTTTATCTGAAGAAGAGAGATGCATTTGCAATAGGGATGCATTTTAGTATTTGATTTTATTTAGCAGGTGGATTTTTATATTTACCTGGTTAGGTTGGGTATATGGTTAGATTTTTTATGTTTTTTTGGGTGTTAATTATTTTATTTGGTCCAAATATATAAAAAGTTCACATGGACTGCCATGTCATATTTTGCACCAGAAAATTTGATAATTCCGGTTGAGTGACCTTTTGTATGCAATAGGAATAATTAAGTGACTTTCCTGTTATAAAAAAAAATTATTTTAGTCCATAATTTTGAATAGTTGAATGATCATCTGAGTAAGAGACTCGAAACATCGTCACAAGCTATGGTATCATATGCAACCTCGGTATTCATTTCCGTAGGGTTTCAAGCAACTAACCTTTTCAACAACTAAAACAAAACCGTAATGTTCTAGTACATTTTTTATTAATACTTTCTCTGTTTCACTTTAATTGATTTTTTGGCCTTTTTATTGTGGTCCGTAATATTTAATTTTTTCAGATATGAAGAAGGAATATCTTCTTTTTTTCAAAGTTGCCCTTGGAATAAAGAGTCTCAGAGTATCTGTTATATTTCTAATAGACAAATTAAAGAGATAGTTGTAACGACCCGGCTAGTCATTCTATATATTTGGGCCCCATTTTCCCATTTGATGCTCCTTATATGTGTATTTTTTGTTATGTAACTTGCGGGGATGATTGGTTTGAGTTTGGATAGTTTTGGAATGAATTGCAATATTTAATTCCAAGGTTGGAAGCTTAATTTATAAGAGTTTATCGAGGTTTGAATTTTGTATAAAGAACCCCAAAATGGTGATTTGATGGTTTCAATAAGTTCGTATGGTAATTTTAAACTTAGGTGTATGTCTATATTTGGATTTGGAGGTCCCTAGGTCGATTTGATTCTATTTGACAAAAGTTGGAAAATCGAAAGTTTGGAAAGTTCATAGGTTTGAGTGGGAGTTGACTTTGAGGCTATCGGGTTCGAATTGTTATTCTGAAAGTTGGAATAGGTTCTTTATTCCATTTAGGACTTTTGTCCCAAATTTGGGGTCATTCCGGATTAGTTAGGCTTGAATCAGACGCTTGGTTTGAAGTTTGAAGTTTATGAACTTAAGAAATTGATCTTGATCGACGATTTGTGGTTTTGATATTATTTTATATGATTTGAGACCTCAAGTAGGTTCCTGTTATTTTGGGACTGGCTGATATGTTTGGACGGGGTCCCGAGGAACTCGGGTGTGTTTCCGGCTGGATTTAGATCATTTTTTAATGATTTTGAATTGCTAGTTCTTTGATCAGTTGCAGTGCTTCGCGATCCCGGAGATAGTCTCACGTTTGGAGAGAAGAGGAAGCAGGCAGAAGGATTTTCCTCTTCGCGCTCGCGAAGCAGGTATCGCGTTCAACGAGAGGAGGGATCTGAAGAAGTGCGATCGTGTGAGGGGGATGCATTCGCGAAGGAATGATGCCAGAGGGAGGAATGTCTTCGCGTTCGTGGAACTAGGCTCACATTCGCAAAGGCTCAATAGGTGGCTAGGCATCGCGCTAGCGTAAGGGCTTCACGTTCGTGAAGAAGGGGCGGCAACTGGTCAGGAATTTGGCCTTCGCGATCACGAAGTGTGTCTCGCAATCGCGAAGTGTATAACTGGACAGAAGTATAATATATCATTTTTGGGACTTTGAGCTCTTTATCATATTTTGAGATGAGAGCTTAAATTGAGGCAATTTTCACCCACTTGGATTATGTTAAGTGTTCTTGACTCGGATTTGATTATTATTCATGATTCCATACCTGAATATGGAATTTGATTGATGAATCCAAGTGAGAAACATTGGGAATTTTGGCAAAACTTTTCTAAAGCGAAAAAAAAGATATTTGAATCCCGATTCGGAGTCGGATTTAGATGAAACTTGTATGGTTGGACTTGTATTCGAAAGGATGTGCCCTATTCGTGAGTTATGTCGGGTTTCGGGGTGCGGGCCCGGATTGACATTTTGGTTAACTTTATATATTTGTATAAAAGATCAAAGCTTTATTATTTGGGGTTGTTTCCTATGGACTTAATTGATATTATTAGTTATTTTTAGCTAGATTCGAGCCGTTTGGAGGGCAGTTTGCGTGGGAAGGCGATTTTAGAATGTTGATTTGGCTTATTTGAGGTAAGTATCTTGCCTAAAATTAGTTGAGACATTAGTTGCCTGAGTTATTAGTGTTGGCTACGTGCTATGTGTGGCGCACATGCGAGGGGTTGAGCCCATGTGTGTACACTAGGGTTTTATCCATGCTCGCAGTAGTGCTTAAGCTAATTTATGCCACGAATTGACCCCTAAGCTTCTTGCTATCATGCTTCTTATGTTTGTACCCCTTGGTAAGCTGAATTGAATCATGTCATAGGTTATATGTAGGTTAATCTCCTATTCAAACATTATATTTCCATTTTGTGGCGTAATCGCCTAATTTGAGCTATGGTAGGACACTTCGCACATGCATACACCTTAGCATGTCACTTATATCAGTCCGTAAGTATGTGATCTGACATTCATTGTTCATGTACACGTATACTTATATATGCTTTCGGTGTGATATGTATTGGATTGATAGCACGTGAGTGGTCCGTGCGGGTTGGATTATATAGCACGTGAGTTGTGCATGCACCGTGTGGATAAGGATACATCCCCCTAGGGTCACCCTCTCATGTCTCTCTCTTGATGGTGTATACGCTGTATGAGGAATAACTAATAAATGTTTGGTTTTCGAGTCTTTTCTCTATTTGCAAACTCCTTGTATGTATACATGTTTTACTCGCATATCTTCTATATATATTAGATCTGGAATGTATGCATGTCTCGCTGTGCATATCTTCTCTATATGCTGTTTGGTTCGATTAGTGGGAGTATGGTACATATCTTCTCTATATGTCTACTTGTGCACACGAGACTTGATCATATATCTTCTCTATATAATGGGTTGTTAACCGATGCAGGACTTGGCACACTATCTCTTTATGCACCGATGAAATTTTTATGATTAGATGGTACCATTGCTGTGTACTTGCAAATTCATGAACTGAGTAGGTTATTAGTGAGTATCATTGATAATTGTTGCCACTATTATGTCGCCGAGGTTAGTTATGATAATTGTTGAGTACATGGGATCGCTTGTACTTATACTACACTCTGTATCCTATTTGCTGTGAGTTAACGTGAGGCGAGGTAGAGCTGCATTCCGAATGCAGTCCTTGACGTCCCTTTCCATTTCAGTTAGTGTTATTATTATTCAGACAATATTTTTTATTTTGTATTTTCAGACTTGTGCTTCTATTGTAGATCTCATGACTCTGTATTGCCAGTTCCGAGAATTTTGTGTATTGACGCAATTTATTTAAGACATTTGGCTTTAGATTTGTATTATTTTCGTTAATTACATTATCTTGTTCCACTTTTATTATGCCTGGCTTGCCTAGCAAGTGAGTTTGGCGCCATCATGCCCGAATGGTAGTTTTTGGGTCGTGACAATAGTAAAGATTAATATGGCCTTGTTAATTAATGTTAAAAGATGAATTTCTTATTATGTGTGAAAAAACCAAAAAAATAATTAAAGTAGACCAGAGGGAGTAGATATTATATTGGAATTCATGCAGATTTAGGGAAAAGTAGGACACAATGAAAGAAGTTAATTTTATATAAGTGATACCAATTAGTTGAACATATATTTTAGTCATGTGAGTGTTTTTGCTTTAGATCATATACTTCTAGGAGTCTTATGCCATACTAGAGATTTTTATGACAATAGAAAATAGAGAGAACTTTTAATATGTTTTATATTTACTTTGTAATGCTCATTTGAGAAGAATTTTAACTGGAAAAATATAGCCCGTAAAAATTCATATAGCTGACTCCAACTTTTTTGAGACCCGAACTTGTTTGAGATTGAGGCATAATTGTTGTTATTATTATTTTTGTAACACACACACATTATAAACATGCAAAGTGATACTCCCTTAGTCCCAGTTTATGTGGCAGTATTTAACTAGGCAAAAAGCTTAATAAAAAAATAAAGACTTTTGAAACTTGTGGTAAAAAATAAACCATAAAAATACTGTGGCTATGAATCATCATAGCAAGTATAAAATGAGAAGTTTAAAGTTACTAGCATAAAAATACTAGCCATGTAATAGTGATACTATGAAACAATATATGGCTACTACATGGGATACTAATTACACTTCATGTATCTATTTTAACAGTTTTTAGTTCTTAATATAATCAATCCCCTTGACCCAAAAAAAAACAAAAAGCGTAAGACAATTTTTTCTGAAACTTCTTTTCATTTTTCTTTCGAATTCTTTTTCAACCAAATGCTATTTTCAAAAATTGAACAGTACTTCTGGATTTGTTTCTCAATTTTTGATTTTTTTTTTTTTTTTGTCTAATGCGTTTTATTATTCATTTCCAATAAAACATTCGAAGTTCAATTTGGGTGTTGTGAAAAACATAGGCGATTTGTTTGTTAGCCTGACAAAGAATGTAATGAGGAATTTATACCTCATTTTAGTTAATACTACTTGTCAGCGCAAATAAATACTCCTTCATTCTAGGTGTTGTACTGTATCAGTAAATGCTTGTACCTTACCTATAACATTAATGCTTCCACCTACATCCTGCAATACATCTCGGAATGTGCACTCACTGTTAAAGAAGCAGGCAGCAGCTTGAATGGCTAGTACTCCATTGTTGATAATGCTCAAAATTCTCACACCCCGTCGTGACTTAAACTCACCACAACCCTTCTTCGTTCTCGTACCCACAGCCTTAGCTCTCGTCACCTCTCTCTTAATTCTCTTCTACATTTCCTTCACTTCCAAATTCTTCACTCATTCCCAACAAACCCATCTCACATTCGCTCATTCTACTGATTTTTCAATCTTCAACTCCACCTCCCAGAAACCGATCAACATTTCATTTCTTGGCTCAATACAAAGTTTTGATACTGGTGGAATTGGAAATTTTCAGAGCCAGAGGCATACGGGATTGAATGGTATGAACAGAAAAGAAAAACCACTTAAAATCGTTTCACTTTGTAAAGTTTTACTACTCCATCCGTTCAAAAAAGAATGATCCTATTACTACTATTTGAGGTGTCAAACATGGTTTTCTTTTATCATTTTTTTTTGGTAGATAGTCTTTATATATTTTGAATTGTTAACTAATGTGACTTGTAGTACTTTTTATATAATTTGTGAAAATGTAAATTTTATTTTAAAAAACTTAAAGAATCTATGTCCGAATTCACACGGAAAATTAGTCAATTTGACCCTTGTACTCAAAAAAGGTCCAAACAAATTGAGACACGCTGTCCCAATTTTTTGTGATGTAATTTACTTTTTAGTATGTCCCAAGAATACCTTAGTATATTTGGAAATAATTTAACTTTAACTTCTCATTTTATATTTAATGAGATAGATTTGTTGCCATGCAAGTATCTATGGCTTATTTGAGACCACAAGTTTCAAAAATCTTTATTTGCTTAAACTCATTGCTCAGTCAAACAATATCACATAAAATGGAAAAATAGCAGGGAGGGAGGACATTATTGAATGTATTATATGGTCATTTGGAATGAGCAAAATCTTAATAAAATATAATTATTTTCTATCGTCGAATTAAATTGAAATTGACCAAATGTGAACAGGGAAAAGGTAGAAGGGACAAAAACTGTGACAGGCAGAGAATATTATAGGAAGTGGCTCTGTTGTTAGGAGGTTTATCATTTAGCATTTTTCATTCTGAACTTAAAAGAATTGCTGAATTTGCTACACTAAGTTTACTGTTAGAGATTTTCGATACTAGGGACTCTGTGAAGATTGAGTTTTGTGCTAAAGGATCATATGCTTTATTCGTTGATTTAATGCCACATGATGCTTCTTAAAGGACTTACCTATTTAGAATTAAGAACCTTGTACAGTTCAATGATTTGGTTTCCGCATTCATCATTTGGGAACCTCGTATGTTCAACGATTTGATTTAGTGCTTAAAGGATAATGTTTATTCTTTGATTTAATGGCACATGATGATGCTTAAAAGACGTACCTATTTAGAATTGGGATACATTCAACGACTTGAGTATCCAAGTTCATCATTTGGCAGGTTAGATGCATTAGAAGCTATTTCAATTAGTTGTTTGATTTATTCGGTGAGTTGGTGATTTGGATCTCCAGTTAGTGAATGCTTATAACATCTAAAGAAGGAAAGAAATAAATTTAAAAAAAAAAAACAATTAGCAGGAAATGAAAGTACAGAAATGGTTTCAGAGAAATGATGTCCAATTGTCGTATATGGACAATGTTTAAGCATATGCATAGAAGGATAAGGTAGACGAAATGAAAATAAAAGATTTAATCTTTTGGAGATTTCACTTCTTTCTCTTTTGCTTCTTCTTTTTCACCTCGAAAATTGAGTATGAATATAATAATCTGAATCTTAAGTCGGCATGCTTACTTTGGAAAGGTATCTAATTAGATGAAACAGGAAAAGTTGCAGCATCATTATTTTCTCTTAAGGTGCCTTCTATCATCTAAACCTGGTTGTTCTCTCTTTTGTTTTTCTTTATCTCTATTATCATGAGGTGAGTGAAATGATTTTCTGTGATTGATAGAAAAGAAAAACATAGCACATCCTAAGTCTTCTGAAACCAAAATGTGGCGATTCAACACACCTCTCAGCACAATATAGGGTTCTCTTTAAGCAACTATGAGAAAAAACTTTAGCATCATGATTTAGGCAGTACAAAGATGCTATGCTCACCTTATCAAAAAAAAAAAAAAGATGATATGCTCTCATTTAGATGTCTAATGAATCCCAGCTTGATTATTTAAAGAACCTCGTAGTACATTTAAAGTTGTTTCTATGTAATATCAAACTTTGGCACCCAACTTTTTTTTTTCAAGGTCTCCGGTGAAATGTCTTCACAGCAATTCTCGGTTTGCAACTTACTTTTTGCTATAGTCGGGTTCTAGGTTAATATTTTATACTTTATTAGACCTGGAGTGCAGTCTTTTTCTTACTCTGACATGCTTGAAATTGTTATAAGTAAGCCTGCCCAGCTGGGAGGCATGTGGTACGAGTTACTATAACCTTGGGGGTCGGGTTGCATTAGTTGTTTTCCAGTTTTCCGGCCTGTGACTGAGAAAAGGAGGTGTTTCGAGAACATACCCGCTGTTGGGGTGATTCTGATACTGGAACAGATAGGTAACAAGATAATATTTTCTTGTCGTATCCTGTCATATTTATGTTGATTAACCACAGGCTGTAGGTTGATATACCAGCTTAATATTGTTCCAGTTGTCCACTGGTTGACCTTTATTTAGAAGTCATGCATACATGGCTAAACCAGTATCTTCGGCCCAGTTTATCTTGGAACTGCGAAATAGATAGTAGTGTAATGCAATTGTGGATTCCAACCATGTCATTTTTGGCCTTCTGTAAGTTGTATCTCTTTGCCATACCGATAACTACCGTGGTTATTTTCTGATAAGTACTATTTTTTGTCAGTTTATTATCTGAAGTAACTATATTCTGTGAATGCTATATTATTTACTGCAAATTTAATTGCCTGCAGCCCAATAATATTCTGTCCTGATTGGCGTTTTGGCAGGGTGTGTTGGCCCTGATTACTGTCTTGTCTGAGCTTTGTCACTTATTTTCTGGATCTAGAAATAGTTGGCTTTTATTTACAGGAAAGTTTGTTAATGACAAAGCGGTATTCCATGACAGAGATACCTTTATGAACGACTACAAAGAAATGAATAGGAGCTTGAAGATATATGTTTATCCTCACCAAAAGGCTGATCCCTTTTCCAATGTACTCTTGGCTGTTGATTTTATGCCAGGCGGAAACTATGCCAGTGAAAGTTACTTCAAGAAAATTCTTGTGACAAGCCACTTCATTACAAAGGATCCTTCCAATGCAGATCTTTTCTTTCTACCTTTCTCAATTGCACGATTGCGGCATGATCCACGAGTGGGGATTGATGGTATTAAAGATTTCATAAAAAGCTACATCTTCAATATTAGTCATGAGTACCCTTACTGGAACCACACCAATGGGGCTGACCACTTCTATGTTGCTTGTCATTCCATTGGTCGTTTTGCCATGGAGAAAGCAATTGATGTTAAGATCAATGCGATCCAAGTTGTGTGTTCTTCAAGTTATTTCGTATCAGCATATATTCCACATAAAGATGCATCCATGCCCCAGATTTGGCCAAGGCTAGGAAGTGACCCAAATCTTGCACCTTATAAAAGGTCAGCTGAGTCTTTTTGAATTTTATTAGCTTATTTCACTGCACGTATTTCAGATATCGGACTACTTTGCTGGGGTTAATTTCCAAATTATGACCTGTCAGTTAATAAGCACATGGAATCTTACAAGATAATTTTGTTTATCTTGACATGTATCTTGGAAAGCTTTTACTGGCATTCATCATATGCCCATCTTTGGGAAAGCCTTTTTTCGGCATTCATCATATGCCATTCTTCTGTGCTCCCATGTGCATATTAAACTGTAATAGATTGTATACCTCATGTGAAACCTGCAAATTGACGTGTCTTGTATGGGAGCCTGTCCAAAAACTTCGAAGTAATCAAATCCATTTGCCAACTAGATGTTTTTATAGGTTTAACCTTTTTGGATTCTTAATTCCAATTCCATGGTTAAATATGGTCTATGTTGTAAAGACTTTTTGGTTATCCCTTTTGGTCTTTTGGATTTTCGTTCAGGGTCGGCGACCACTTGGTGTCTGCATATTAGTACATAACATCTCTACTACATATTAAATAAACTAGTTAGATCTGGACAGGATATTCGTTTCATCAATTATAGTGACTATCCCCATATATTACTTCGACTTGGATAGTTTGCTGAGCCTGTAAGGTTATCGAACATAGTGGGACCAATTTATGGGAAGTTTAAGTGTATTTTGCAGAACTCATTAGAGGTAGTGATACTTGTGTCCATGGTCCTGTCTATTTGACACAGGTGCATAAAGAATCCTGGTGACCTTGTTGTCCCTGCACCATCACCCAAATGCTTTGTAATGGTATGTCCATACACACTGCTGCCACCAGATAAGCACTATTTTTTTGAATGATAAATGTCAGATATCGTTGACAAGAATGTAGCTGTGGAAGAAAGATGGAGCACTGGAGGTGAGAATCATGGGGAAAATGGAGTAGATATGAGAGTCAGATGAGGCAAAGGGAAAAGTTTACCGTTCAGAGATTTTCTAAACTCCATAGTTAGCTGTAAATGAGAATACAATGGCTTAGGTAAAAGAGAAGATGGAAATTATTGAATAGAGATGTGTTATTAAGTACATCATAAAAGAATTACAACCGAAACGACTCCCACTAGATAGCCGCCCCTGTCTCTCTTTTTACAGCCTTGTGGATAGATGAAAGAAGGGAAGAGTGAAAGGGGTGATCTCGTAGTTCTTGGTCTGTGAAGATGCATTGTTAGGTGCTCCAATTTATTTTCCCGTTTGATTTACCTTAGTTGTCTCTTGGTTAAGTTCAGTATTGCTGTTCTTGACTAAGTAGTTCAAATATCTTATGCGATGGTTTAAACAATCACCAACTTATCTGTAAATTGTTTGATGAGAGAAAGATTTACTCAGAACTTGGTCAGTGGTAAGTGCCGCTTCTTTGTTCTGCTCCTGGCTAACACTGTTTTGCTTGTATGTAGCACCTGGTTTCTTTATACTTTCCTCTTTTCTCCCTCTGCTCGAGGATTCCATTCAACAAGGGTCATTGTACAATTGATTTGTTCTGGTGTATGCAAGAGGCTGTTCCTCCTAACAACCTTCGGTAGATGAGCAAGCAGTTTGAGTCGACTGGTAGTTCTCTGATATTGTTATAGCCGTCTTCATATTGTTTGAAGAAGTGTGATTCTGTACACACAGTGAAAAAAGGTAACAGAAGACAAAAACAAAGGGGGGGGGGGGGGGGGGGGGGGGCTAATCCAAGCTTAAGAAGGTTTCCCTTAACTTGCCCTTTATACATTCAGTTGACTGTGTTAAGCTGTATGCTTCAAGCTAGACTAAAGAAATGGAAGCTCTAGTGACCACCAGTAAGAACTCCGGACCTTAAAATGTGTATATATGGATATGGTGCCGTGTAGCTACTAGATAGGAAGCTCACGGACAAAGGTTTCAGCTGTTTACCACTCACCGGAAACTTCTTTGATATTGTTTCATTTTTTCTGTTGGTTTTGCCGTCGGTAAAAATTACTATTAGATTTCACTATCTTAGATAATAATCACTTGCACTGTTAGAGAAGCTTTTGGATGAATATATTATTCATAACCTTATTTGCCATGTGGGGGGCTTCTTCTTGTGTAGAGATCAATAAACTCATTTTATTGAATGGTTTCAGGAAAAAGCTAGGATTTTTTGCTGGAACAATAAATTCTCCTGTACGTGAAAAGCTTCTAGAGTGGTGGGGAAATGATTCTGACATCTTTGTGCACTTTGGTCGCCTTGAAAGATCTTATGCCGAAGAACTACTTGATAGCAAATTCTGCCTTCATGTCAAAGGCTATGAAGTGAACACCGCTCGCATTGCTGATGCCTTGTTCTATGGCTGTGTACCTGTGATCATTGCGAACCATTATGATCTTCCATTTGCAGATATATTAGATTGGAAGCATTTTTCAGTCATCGTTGCCACGTTAGACATCCCTTTATTGAAGAAAATCCTTCAAGGCATAACTCAGCAGGAGTACTTAATGTTGCATAGCAATGTTCTGAAGGTGAGAAAACACTTCCAGTGGCATGTTTCCCCTGTTGATTTTGATGCCTTTTATATGGTTATGTATGAGTTGTGGCTAAGGAGAAGTTCTTTAAGGCTTCAATGAGCATTTTACCAGATCACACTTTGAATTTTGTATATTAATTTCACGGGGTCACAAGGAACCCTTCTTTGACACGGTACCAGTGATCAGGTGAAAAGTTGGAAATACCAATTGATAAAAGATATTCAATTTGTTGGAACATCACTGAATAATAGTGCTATTAGAGGTAATCAAAGAACAAATTAATCCATACAAAAAATTCCTAACAAAAGAAACTTAGAGAAATGCCCAAAAGGTATATGAATTGCAAGGAAAAAAGCTTTCAGATTACTTTCAAATCAAACAATGAAAATGCTACTAGAACAAATGCCCCATATTCAGATTGTCTGTCACATGTTATGGTTGATTTTTACTACTGGTGGTTGCCTGTTACGTACTTGTGTCCTATTCCTGGACTTGGACAAGATTGTCTGTCACATGTTATGGTTGAAAATGAAGCTCGTGAATCTGGACATCCTAGCCATCTGTCTACACTAAACTAGGATTGAGTTCGTTTGTTTTGGTAGTTAGGGAATAGTTTCTCGTTCTTTGGTGATCTATGCATATTTATAGTAGTACTTTATGAGGTTTTGGTCTGGGGGTTCTAGGTGGGGTTTAAGTTTGACCAGGAAAAGGATGGACGGAGGCTAAATTGCAATTTCTGGAAATGAAACGTGAGTAAATGTTGATGAATTGATTTTTCAAAATATAGGAACTAGCCAGGAAGTTTCTTGATTTCGAAAAGAACAAAAAAAACGAAGATGAAATTTCAAATTGGCTCAAGTAATATATAGGGGACGGTATACAATTTATACATGCAGATGGCTGGTAGGGAGAAAAACATTTATTGTTAACTAACTGCCAATTTGGCAGTATAGTAGGTAAACAAGATGCTGTAACAATAATTGAATCGTAATAACTTATTGGAATGGAATCTAATGCTAATATTTCGTCAAGCACTTAGAAACTCTACAACTGTTGTGACTGGAATTCCTCTGTAAAAGGTGGTTCGGAATAAATACGTTGAGCTCTAAATAATGATCAAATTGAGTAAAAATTGCACGGGGCGTCCTATTTGGTCGCCCCATTTAACCTATACCCATTTTTTTAAAAACTTTTAACTTGTACCCACTTTTTAAACAACTTCAGCACCCTTTCTCCTCCTCCTTCTCCTCCTCAAAGTTATATCCGCCTCTTCTTTCTCAAACTTCTCCTTCTCCCTTTTCTGCAAGAAATCTGTTACGGCTATGTATATAACATGTATTCACACAACGTCCTCAAGAACATAATAATCATTTTTAGAAAGAAAAGTCTGAGATTGTACAGTGTGGTGGAGCTACTGAATCTTTTGAATGTGTCATCTTAGGGATCATTACTGTTCTTGGTAGTCTGAGTCTTTGTTGTTTTCATTTCAAAGTGGAATGCTTTTTCTGTGTTGCTTCTCTTTTACTGCATTACACGCCATTACCCTTAATCGTTGTCATTCTCTTATTTTAAAGCTGTAACTGAACCTATAAACCAGACTTCGACTCCAACATATCATAAAGATAATACTTTGATCCTCATAAGGATTTCCTAATTGTTTTGTGTTTTCGAATATCAGTTGCTTAGCAATAAAAATGGCTGAGCAAAGCTGAGTGTGAGTTAGACGAAATGAGGTTGATGCATTTAAACTGGCGAACAAAAACTTCAGCTCTAGAGCTGAAGTTCGACAGTTAAAAAACAAAAACTTCAGCTCTAGAGCTGAAGCTTAAAAATAAAAACTTCAGCTCTAGAGCTGAAGTTCGCCAGTTACAAACAAAAACTTCAGCTCTAGAGCTAAAGTTCGACAGTTAAAAAACAAAAACTTCAGCTCTAGAGCTGAAGCTTACAAACAAAAACTTCAGCTCTAGAGCTGAAGTTCGACAGTTACAAAACAAAAACTTCAGCTCTAGAGCTGAAGCTTACAAACAAAAACTTCGCCAGTTACAAACAAAAACTTCAGCTCTAGAGCTGAAGTTCGACAGTTAAAAAACAAAAACTTCAGCTCTAGAGCTGAAGCTTACAAACAAAAACTTCAGCTCTAGAGCTGAAGCTTACAAACAAAAACTTCAGCTCTAGAGAGCTGAACTTCAGACCTGGCTACTAGAATGCTGAAGTTTTGTGTGATTGCCTTTGCTACTTCAACCCCGTATGCTGAAGTTATGCGAAAAACTTGCAATTTTTTTGCAAAGCGGGTACAAGTTAAAACGTGACACAAAAAGCGGGTATAGATGCAAATGCCCCTCAAATTGACTAGAGGTGGCAATATAAGCCCACATCCATTTGACCAGCCCAATCCGCCCAATTGAGCAACCATCACAACACCGATCTCCTCCTTCTTCTTCGCTTCAAAATCCTCCCTGACAGCATCGCTTTATTCGTAGCTTGCTGTTGCTCGAAAACACACACGCAAGTATATGTGGTCGACAAATAATATAGGATTGTAAGTCCAGATATCGTACCCACATGGACTTGTGATTAACTATTTACTAAATAAACTAAGACAATTAATCTATTCAAGCACTTTTCTAAAGATTATTAACTACAACTAATCTAGAGTCGAAAACTAAGAAATTAAAGAAAATATGTCGGCAAGCTTAGATGCGAACTCAATGGGAGAAAATTTTCCTAAGCTATGGGTTAGCTAACAATCCCGTTAAGTCTTCCACTTGAATTGTCTAATTAATTTATCTGGTTTATTGATTGACAAGGTTAATATTACTCGTAGTATTCTCCCGAAGTACTACTCGTTTATGCAAGCTAACGTAACGCCTATATTCCTATGGAATTAGGATTAACAAGAACGCATTAATAATTCCTGTATAGTAACCAAGCAAGGCGGTTAGGTATATCCCTATCCTTATCGCAAATCCGTTCCCGATACTCAAGTTCAAGATCTTGCTCTACTCAATCTTATATGCAATCTAAAATTCTCTCTCCCGAGTTCAATCCTAGATTAGATAGTATTCAATTGGTAATCAACCAATCAAATAATTAAGCGCAAGATTTAATAAATAAACCAATATGATAAAATAACAAGAATAATTCAAGCTTCGAACTACAACGTTCATGTAGCATCCAAAACTCTAGAACTAATAAACTATGAGATTAAAGGAAGAGAAGAGAAGAAAAACTTGTTAGAAGCCTCCTCCAAGCGTGGTGTGTGTTCCTCCACGTGAATTCTCCTTCAAAGTATGTTAGATATTCTCCAAATTAGGTTTAGGAACCATTTTATACGAGTTGGGACTGTGTAGGGCCGAAATAATCTTGTCCCGGGCGAAAAAGGAAAAATCCCGCACCCAGGTCTGGTGCTAAAACCAGAAACGTTTCACGTCTACTTGGGCGTTCTTTCAATTGCTGCCTAACCTGCTCGCGCTGGCCCTGGCGCTAAAACCAGAAACGTTTCACGTCTGTTTGGGCGTTCTTTCAATTGATGCCTAACTTCTGCTTCGTTTCTCATTCTTTTCCTTAACTTTTCAGTTCTTTGCAATTGTTTCTTTTGTCTTCTTTGTAATATTAAACTTTAATCATTATATATTCAATGAATAAATAATCATGAATCCATTTTTGTAGTTATAAAATACACATGAAATCTCTACTTTGCTTCCAATTTAATCTCCAAAAGACTTACACATAAAATAAACTCAATTAAGCACAAACATAGTATAATTTAGCATTAAAATACCAAAATGTAAGATAAGTAATGCATTAAAAATATATAATTATAGCCAGACGTCACTATCCCACACTTAAACGTTGCTCGTCCTCAAGTCAACCAACAATTTACACATAATTATAGAAGTACACTATACTAATATTGACTATGATTGATAGCAACAATTAAACCTTAGCATATCCATTCAAAACACACCTCCCTTTTACTTATGCAATACTTCTAAAATATTCAAATAAAGACAACATGCTCATAACCATCCTAGCCTCAAAAGTCGACTCAATGTCACTATGCACTCATGGCTTAAACACCCAACATCATAGAGAAGTCTAATAATGTTATCTATCCCTCTTGAAACCATGTGTCCTCAAAACAAGAACAAGAGATTAAGTTTAATCCACACATTCAAATCATATGCTCAATATATTTCAAGGACTCACATACATCAAAAAAATTCGCTTACTCTCACAAAAAAGTCACATGCATGCAATTAATACCATAAGCTTGCCCATAATGTAAATCTCCACTAATGTAGGCTCACTCGATCTAAAATCAATTAGGACTTTTCATGATTGTAATGTGGGCTAATGGACGGTTAGGATATATTTAGGAATAATGGTTCACCCTCTTAAGCACTTTAACACATCACATAATCAGCTTTAGTGCATATTCTTCAATCCCAACTTCAATTTTATAAACAAAATCACCTCCAACGTTCCCTCTTTCTTTAAGCACTACTTTAGTTCACTCACTAGCAAAGACAAGATCTCATTTTATTCATCTACATATTTGTTTTCAGCATTTTATTCTTTCAATAACAATTTTCTCTTCTTCTACAATTTTCGCTAGTGATGTATTCCTTTATAAAACAAGTGCATCTTTCTTCCTTTCATTGATCCACTCAAAAGCCACCCTACACTTAGTCCTTACTTCTTCTAGCGCTCATTTCACAATTAAAGTGCTTTCAGAGGTAACATGATCAAAATAATGTCAATTAAGAACAAAAAGGTATAAGCTCGTAATGTGGGTGCCAAATAGAAGGTCTGCTAGCTCAAAAGGGTTAGCTAGGGATAGATTTTATTTGTGATAAGCAATTAAGCTCAAAAAGATCAAAGAAAGCCTAAAATCATTTTTCAAACCGAGCATCACCTGAAATTTCGCTTCAACTCATATACCGGGTAAGTTCTAGACTCAATCACAATAACATAGACTACACAAAATCTCACTTCACACATGGCACGTTACTCAATAAGGACGGTCTCATTCTGACTCTCCAACAATGTAAGTATTCACAGAGCCACAAGATATTAAATATTTAACACAAAGTGAATATAAGTCAAGATAACGAGATATATGTGTCGCAAACCATGTTATCCAATATATAAAGGCATCATAATCAATTTCAAAACATAGGAAAGATACAACACATGTCAAAGCCTAAATATGCTATTATGAAACAAATCAAGGCGCCTAGGAATGTCATCTTTCTTCCTCCATTTATTTCTTAAATCCTAATCTACTCTAAAAAGTGAACAATTACTACCCGGTTCAACCTACATCCCATGAAAAAGAACAGACGCACAAAGAAAAACCACGGGGGATTATTGCTACCTAATAAAAACTAAAAGATATATTAATTGTATTTTATCAATTTTTTTTGTTTAGACTTTAGTCCCCCATGAAATGTGTCTAGGAGATCCATCGTCGGGAAAAGTCTAAAAATTCTTTTTTTTTTTTTTGGTTTTTCTGTATTTTATAATTTTTTTCAATTAGGCTAACTACAACCAAAAAATAAGAAGCTAAGCTAAAAATTACTACAACTTAAAAAAATACTAA